GTAGTAAGCGAATCGTCCTCATACTGTATATGATTAGTATTACTTAGTAGTCAGTAGTAGTTATAGTAAGTCCGTAAGTAGTAGTTAGTAGTAGTTGTTGTTGTTTGGTGTAGTAATAGTAGTGTCGTAGTAGAGTAGTAGTAGTAGTAGTAGTAAGTAGTAGTAGTATAGTAGTAGTTACTCAAGTACTAGTACTAATACTAGTGGCATTCAGTAGTCTAGTAGTATTGGTTATTAGTAGTAGTACTAATTCTATTAAAGGTCCTACTACTTTACTACTTCGGACTACTTACTACTACTACTATTATACTACTACTTACGACTACTACTGTACTACTTATACTACTACTACTATACTTAATACTACGACTACTAATACTAAATACTTCCATCTTTCTACTACGACTGCTACTTTTTTTTCTTTTTCCTGGAAATTATACTTACTACGGACTAGTACTACTATACGACTACTACTACTACTACTACTACTGTACTACTATACTACTACTACTGCTACTACTTTACATACTTCTACTACTACTACTACTTAGTACTACTAGTACTATGCAGACTATTAGTATTACTTATTGCTACTACTACTACTATTACTACTACTATACTACTACTACTACTACTACTACTACTACTACTACTACTACTACCACTACAACCGCTACTACCACTACTACCACTACTGCTACGACTATTAGTAACCACTACCACTATCACTGCTAATATTTCTACCACACAAAACGACTACCGATTTTGAGGTCGATCGTGAGATTGATAAAGAGGTGGGTAATGAGATCAATGGTGGGGCCGGTCGATAAGAAGATCGACCAGGAAAACGGGAACCAGGGAACCCCGCCGCCCACCGAAATCGGCCCGGAACCGGGAAGCGGGAACCCGGCAACCCATAAACGGGAACCCGGGAACCCGGCCGCTTACCGAAATCGGCCCAGATCTTGCGCCAAATTTTTCAATATCCGTTAGGGCACCTTCAGTGCAAGCAAGCACTGACTAGGGAAATACGAGCGATCGAGGTCTTCCGCCCGCTGCTCATTTCCCCGGTCGACTACGGGATGTCCCATGTAACGGGTGTTTAAACCGTCGAACCGGGGAAAAGAGCACTGCCGGGGAGCCCCTCCACTTAGGGGCTGTGGACAGCTGAAAACACGCGCTCCGCGCGCACGCGCCAGGCGCATGTTGCCCCCACCACCCCACCCCACCCCACCCCACCCCCCCCTCTCCCCGTTCCGCGCAAGCACTTTTCACGCGTAGAGAACTCGACGCGCCCAAGTTTGACCCCCCCCTTGGGACCGTGGACGCGAGAAAACACGCGCGCGCGCCAAACGCATGTTGGACCCTCCTCCGCGCACGTATTTTCGCGCGTAGAGAATCCGACGCGCCCAAGTTGGGTCCCCACCTTTGGGGGCCGTGGACACGTGACAGCGCGTGCCGCGCGCACGCGCAAGGCGCATATTGGGCTTCCCCTCCCGCGCACGTATTTCCAAGGGAAGAATCTGGCGCGCCCAAGTTGGGTCCCCCTTGAGACAAGTGCCGCCCGCGCGCGCGCCAAGCGCATGTTGGGCCCCCCCCTCTCCGCGCGCGGATCTTCACGCGTAAGAAGTCCGACGCGCCCAAGTTGAACCACGCCCTGGGGGCCGTGGGCGCGTGAAGACACATGCCCCGCGCGCGCGCGACAGGCACATGTCTGGCCCGCCCATCCGCGCGTGCATTTCCACGCGCCAAAATCCGACGCGCTCAAGTTGGCCTCCCCCCCACAGGCGCGCGCACGCGCCATGCGCATGTTGCGCCCCCCCCCGCCCTCCCCCCTCATTTTTTTCTTCGCGAACGCAATGTCACGCGCAGAGAGTCCAACGCTCCCAAGTTCCCCCCCCCCCCCCCTTTGCCGGCCGTGGACATGTGAAAACACGTGCCGCGCGCGCCAAGCGCATTTTGGGCCCCCCCTCCGCGCGCGCATCGATCATTTTCACCCGTAGAAGCTCCGATGCGCCCAAGATGGGCCCCCTCCCCCTGTGGGGGCCGTGGGCACATGGAGACGCGTGCCCCGCGCGCGCGTTTCGCTCCACCCCCGTCTCCGCTCACGTATTTCCACGCGTGGAAAATCCGCCGCGCCCGAATTGGGTCCCTCGCCTGCGGCCCCGTCGTGGCCAGAAGCACGCGAAAACACGTGCCGAACGCACGCCTGCTGAGACTCATGTTGGAGACCCCTCTTTTCCGCACATCTATCTTTCCGCATGCAATTCCGACGGTTGCTGCTCGACGCCCTTTTGGTGGAGGGCTTTTGGCCCGCAATCTGAATCTAATTAGCCTGGCGAAGGACCCAACCATATGCAGTTGAGAGTACCGCAATTGTGAATATCTTTTTCGGTGGCGCTCCCTATGGGGCCACGAGCCGTATGAGGGGTGTGCCGAAATGCGTGGCAGTGTACACAACACGAACGAAGACGATAGGTCCGAATATGAAAGCTTGAGCGCGTGCGAGTCGGATCGCGAGCGAGTCTGATTATGAATGAATCTGCGCGCGATTGATTCTATTCGCATGAATGCGTGCATGGATACGCCCAGTGTAAATGTATGTATACGACTGTGAACAGTTTGGGTCTGCGTGACTCTCGGTACTCGTGACTCTGAGCGTCGCCTCTGCAGGGGGCTTCCCTGGGAACCCCGACGGCAGCGCCCGCGCGCCGCGACGCCCATGTCGGCACGCCACACACCTGGTGTGCGGGACGCATGCGGACGGCAGCACTGGGGCCTTCGGTGGAGCTCCCTGGGGCACGAAACGTGGGAGGGGTGTGCCGAAATGGGTGTGCGGGACGCATGCGGACGGCAGCACTGGGGCCTTCGGTGGAGCTCCCTGTGGGGCCACGAAACGTGTGCCGAAATGGGTGTGCGGGACGCATGCGGACGGCAGCCATGGGGCCTTCGGTGGAGCTCCCTATGGGGCCACGAAACGTGTGAGGGGTGTGCCGAAATGGGTGTGCGGGACGCATGCGGACAGCACTGGGGCCTTCGGTGGAGCTCCCTATGGGGCCACGAAACGTGTGAGGGGTGTGCCGAAATGGGTGTGCGGGACGCATGCGGACGGCAGCATGGGGCTTCGGTGGAGCCCCTGTGGGGCCACGAAACGTGGAGGGGTGTGCCGAAATGGGTGTGCGGGACGCATGCGGGTGGGGCGGTGGAGCTCCATGTGGGCCACGAAACGTGTGAGGGGTGTGCCGAAATGGGTGTGCCGGAGGCGGGACCAGCATGGGGCGGTGGCGGGGCTGTGGGATGCCGGGCGCACTGGGGCCTTCGGTGGAGCTCCCTGTGGGGCCACGAAACGTGTGAGGGGTGTGCCGAAATGGGTGTGCGGGACGCATGCGGGCGGCAGCCATGGGGCCTTCGGTGGAGCTCCCTATGGGGCCACGAAACGTGTGAGGGGTGTGCCGAAATGGGTGTGCGGGACGCATGCGGACGGCAGCACTGGGGCCTTCGGTGGAGCTCCCTGTGGGGCCACGAAACGTGTGAGGGGTGTGCCGAAATGGGTGTGCGGGACGCATGCGGACGGCAACCATGGGGCCTTCGGTGGAGCTCCCTATGGGGCCACGAAACGTGTGAGGGGTGTGCCGAAATGGGTGTGCGGGACGCATGCGGACGGCAGCACTGGGGCCTTCGGTGGAGCTCCCTGTGGGGCCACGAAACGTGTGAGGGGTGTGCCGAAATGGGTGTGCGGGACGCATGCGGGCGGCAGCCATGGGGCCTTCGGTGGAGCTCCCTATGGGGCCACGAAGCGTGTGAGGGGTGTGCCGAAATGGGTGTGCGGGACGCATGCGGACGGCAGCGAGGAGGAGAGAGGAGGAGAAGGAGGTGGGACGCGGGGCGCTGTCTCTTCCAAACGAGGACCCAACACCACAGGATGGTTGGGAAAAAAAACCTTGGACCAGAGTCCTCCTTGCACCGGGAGAATGTGGCTCTCGCCTTAGCGCCGCTCGAACCCGTTCAAGGAGTTTGCAACAATTTCCAGGGTTCTCGCGATTGACGTCCCAGAAATGGTGCTTTGGCACCAGGCACAACAGTTGTGTTGATTCGCGGTGTTGAAATCCCAGGAACGGCGTTCTAGCACGATGCCGGATTTTCAAGGCGCAACAGCAGCGGTAATTCGCGGCGCTGAAGTCCCAGGAGTGGTGCTCTGACGCATTTCAGGATTTTCAAACGGTTGTTTTCCAACGGGGCATTCCTTTCAGTGCCAATGAATCTTCATGGGGCCTATGAAGAGGGGACTGGGAAGGAGGGTCTATTGCAATGTCGTTGATGGGCCTTAGGTCTTAGGTTTACACTGGTGCTCCTCCTCCCCCTCCTCCTCCTCCGCCTCCTCCTCCTCCTCCTCCTCCTCATCATCATCATCATCATCATCATCATCCCCCTTCTTCTCCTCGTCCTCCTCATATTCCTTCTCCGCCTCACGCCCGCGTGTAGCTCAGTAAGCCCAGGGAACGGGCCGTTGTCGGGCCATGGATCAGGCGGCAACGCCGTCGGTCCCCGAAAACGTGAACCGTACACTCGCAACTCGTGCAACTGAGCTCTTTCCTCCAGCCTCCCTGCTCCTGCCAGCCCTCTTTGTCCTGTTCATTCCTCCTCTTCCTCCTCCTTCCCGCCAGAAGTTTGACACATATTTTTGTATATGCGTATATATACACATTATGTACGTAACTCGTTCGACTGGGGTCGCATGGGCCGGGAGAGAGTGGACGCGAGGTATTTTGCTGCCGTAATGCTTCTGATCTGATTTGATGATCATCCTCGTCACTTCCCACTCCTCCTCCTCCTCCTCCTCCTCCTCCTCCTCCTCTTCACCTCCTCCTCCTCCTCCTCCTCCTCCTCATCCTCCTCCTCCTCCTCCTCCCCCTCCCCCCCCCTTTTCCTCACCCTCTCCCCTTGTCCTCGTGCCCCCGTCCCCCCCCCTCCCTCCCAGTCTGGCGCCCTCCCGCGCCCAGGGACGGGGTGGCGTACTTGTACGTCGCGGACGGCGACGCGGCCAGCCTGGCCGAGCCCTGCGACAGGAGGTCCAGAGGGGATGGGGGAGGGGCAGCAGAGGCGAGGGATGGGGGAGGCGAAAGGGATGGGGGACTGGGGGAGGATGGGAGTCGATTTCTGTATAGATTTCCTATGGCGCAGCAGAGGCGAGGGATGAGGAAGGCGAGAGGAATGGGGGAATGGGGGAGGATGGGAGTCGATTCCTGCATAGCTGTCCTCCTTGACTTTTGGGGGTAGTCGTCAATGTCCACGGCGCGCGCCTCCTCTGAAGTCGTTGGCTGGCCTGGCATGGATCTGCCCTGCGGCGTCGCAGCGAAGCAGGAACGGGGACGAGGGAGGGGGTAATGGATAGGGGGGCAGGAAGGGACGAGGTAAGGGGGCAGGAGGAGGGAGGGTGGGATGGGGGAGGGGGGGGGGGCAGAGAGGGCGAGGGAAGGGGGAGGAGGAGGGAGGGAGGGGGATGGGGGGGGGGGGGCGAGGGGAGCAGAAGTTGATTCGCCCCCAGGGGGCGCGAAGCTAAAATCTCGCTTCGCGCAGTGCGGCCTGGGCCTGGGAGGCGGCGCGAGGGCGCGAACCGCGGGGTGCGATGCGAAGTTAGGTGACCTAGAGCTGCTTGCTGCAAGTCCCGCCGTCGTGCCACCGTGCGGCGATGCTTCGAGCACCGCCCATGATTAAGGGCTCCCACGAGGGCGCGAAGTTTTTAGCGCTTCGCGGTCCTCGCTCCTTCTCCCCGACCTCCTCGTCCTCCTTTTCTCCCTTTGGGGGGGCGGCGCGAGAGCGCCAAGATATTCGCGCCTCGCGGAACGCGGAGCGCGAAGTTGGGAGCCCATGGAGACGGCCTGTGCGACAGGTTTTCGGGGGGCGGCTCCCACATCGAGGCCAAGGTTTCACAAAATTCAGCATCGTGCATCGTGCCGCCGTGCGGCGGCGCTTCGAGCACCGCCCACAATGCCGCAGGCTGTGACACCTCTCGTCTTTTGCGTTCCCGAGGGGCTCTCGCGGGGGGGCTGCCCGGAGGCTTGGACCCCTCTCGACCCTGCCAGGCAGCACAGTTCACATTCTCCCGCGCCTCAGTGTGCCATGGGGGGGAAACACACAGACACGATGAATCGCCGTTCCCCAGGAAAATGTGCGAACATATAGGAAGTGGGGGGGAAGACAGAATCCCAGAAATTATCCCAGTGCGACCCTACCTAGGAGTTGGAGCCTCTAGGAAAGCAACATTAGTAGGACATACCCGTTCTGCCGGAGCTGCACAGTCCTATATAGCAGCAGCAATAGTGGATGCTGTGCTGCGCTATGCTCTGCTCTGCTCTGCTCTGCTATGCTATGCTATGCTATGCTGCGCAATGCTATGCTGGGCTAGGCTAGGCTAGGCTATGCTATGCTATGCTATGCTATGCTATGCTGCGCTATGCTATGCTATGCTATGCTTTTGCTTTGCCTTCGCTTTTGCCTTCACTTTTGCCTTTGCTTTTGCTTTTGCTTGGCACCCAGGGAGCGCAACTGGGGGAACCGCCCGTTTGCTTGTACCTTTGCTGTTGCTTTTGCTTGGCTCCCAGGGGACTGGGGGAACCGCCCGGGGCGGTTTCCACTGCCCGGCCCCTTTAAGCCAACAGAGTAAGAACCGTTCTAGGCAGAGCCTAGGTAGGGAAATATGGTAAAATATGGGGAATCCTGTTATTTGTGTGTATTTCTTTGTGTGTCCCAGGGCCCCTTCAAATGTGCCAGGGGGGCAGGGTGGAGGAAACTCGCCTGCCCCAAACCCCGGAAAGAAGAGGAGGATCAGAGGAGAAGCGTGCCTATACGACCACCCTTCGGGTAATGAGGAGGTTGTTTGGGGGGAAAGAACTATCTGATGGCAATGTTAATGGTTGTGGTGAGGACGATGCCCGTGATGCGCCCTCGGGTTGGCGACGACGCGTGATGATGATGCTGGTCGCGATGAGTGTTGTTGCCACTATCGAGCTCACACGAGATCCCACTATCGAGCTCACACGAGGTCTCACTATCGATCGAGATTTGATGATAGATCTCGCAGCAGATCTCACTACGATCGTCTCATGACGATCGATCGATCTCTCTACAAGTTTCACATTCGATATCAACCGATCTCACAATCGATCCTACAACCGATCTCTGAAGTGATCTCACAATGGATCGCACTATCGATCTTCCAATCGATCTCGCCGTCGATCTGACAAACGAATTCACTATCGATCTCACATTCGGACTCCTTGTCGATCTCACAACAGTTCTCGCTATCAGTCTCACAATCGATCTCATGATCGATGTCACATTCGGACTCGCTATCGATCTCCCAAACGATCTCGCTAGCGATCTCGCCGCCCTGCTCCGGGACACTGACTCGCGCCGCCCTGCTCCGGGACACGGAACACCGACGCGCCACCGACGGGACACCCCCAGCCATCGCGCGTCGGGGGGAGGAGGGGCGGACAACCGTCTCCACAGCCCCTAGCCACGGCGGCATCAACGCCCCCGCGAAGCTTGTCGCAAGCTTTTCCTGCGCAGCGTCGGCGCCCCCGGATTCCCCAAGGCTCAGCGTTGATGCCGATGCGAGGCACTTCATGTCTGGAGGTCTACGGCCTCTGCCGCCGGCCCCCCGGGCGTGTGAGTTGTGGTGAGTAGGTCGGGGTGGTAGCAGGCCATGTCGTAGCCGGGGCTCAGGTCGGACGGGGCCAGGGCGAGCATGAGTCCGTTCGGGAAAGCTCTGAGAGGACCGCGGCGCTCGATACCTCCCCACCCACACCCAGAGAAGACAGAGAGACAGATGTTGGCCTCTTGGGAGGCCTATCGGGAGGCCTATTGGAGGCCTCTCGGAGCGTCTTGGAGGCCTCTTGGACCGTCTAGGGGCCAGCCATCTTGAGCGTCTTGGAGCGATCGTTCGGCGACTCGGGGCCCTCTTGGGCCGTCTTGAGGGCCCTCTTGGCCCGGCGCCCGCCAGGAGGGCCAGCGGATCTCGATAGTTCTTCGGCACCCGAAGACCGCGCCGCGCGCGTCATTGAACATTGATATTTGCAAGGGCTCCCACGAGGGCGCGAAGTTTTTCGCGCTTCGCGGTCCTCGTTCCCTCTCCCCTTCCTCCTCGTCCTCCTTTTCTCCCTTTGGGGGGGCGGCGCGAGAGCGCGGAGTTCTTCGCGCCTCGCGCTTCGCGGAGCGCAAAGCGCGAAGTTGGGAGCCCTAGAATTTGGGGGGCAAGGAGGGTCGGCAAATTTAAGCGTCGCGGAGGGCTGTAGGTCTCGACGTAAGGGGCCCGAGGTGCGGCAGGTTGGTGTCGTGTCGACGCGGCGGCGGTCCCAGCGCTGGCGCAAGAGGCCCAGAATCAGCCGCTGCGGAACGAACCGGCGATCGGCGAATCCGCAACCGCTGAAGATGGAAGGGTCCAAGCGGCGTCAGAGACACATCGCCGATGTCGTCACGACACGAACTTGCTGTATCCTCCCGGCCCCCCTACATCGGGGGAAGGAGAAGCGACACCACCACCACCACCACCACCACCACCACCACTCAGGCGATTGCAAACATGGATTCAGGGGACGTGGATTAGCGACGGGTCCCGTTTCCATGGGACATCCCGGATTGCCGCCGCCGAGCGAGGCGCACCAGCCGCCTTTTGGGGAGGGCACCTCCCCCGATCCATGGATTTGGCGACCGCGCGCCAAATCCATGGATCGCTAATCCATGTTTGCGCGCCCCCGAACCACCCACCACCACCAGCACCACCACCAGGGGGACCACCTCCGGCGAGGAGGACCACGATGCCTCCCCGAGCTGGGAACACAGGAGGTCTCGAGCGCGAGGGGGCACCACACCACCAGGGGGATGCCCTCTGTTGCCTCTTGCTGGTGGCCCCTGGTGGTTGCCTCCCTCCCTGCTCCTCCTCCTCCCCCTCCTCCTCCTCCTCCTCCTCCTCCTGCTCGCACGCTCGACTCCTCCTCCTCCTCTTCCTCTCTCCTCCTCCTCCCTCCTCCTCCTCCTCCTCCTCCTCCTCCTCCTCTCCTCCTCTTCCTCTTCCTCCTCTCCTCCTCCTCCCTCCTCATCCTCATCTCCTCCTCCTCCTCCTCCTCATCCTCATCCTCATCTCATCCTCATCCTCCCCCTCCTCCTCTCCTCCTCCTCCTCCTCCTCCTCCTCCTCCTCCTCCTCCCTCCTCCTCTCCTCCTCCTCCTCCTCCTCCTCCTCCTCCTCCTCCTCCTGGTGTCTTCCTTTTGTTCCTGCCACAGGCAGACCTTCGAGAGCGGGTCCATCGCGAATCTGCCCGCGGGCGGCGCGCCGCCCGAGCGGGGATCGCTGGCCAGCCTGGCGTGGGGCGACCCGCCGGCCGAGGAGCTGCACGGGGGTCAGTGGCAACAATAGGAGCGGATAGGCATAGGGTTAAATCGGGCGTGTCCCCCTACAGGGGGATTTTGGGCGAAATACCTCCCAAATGGGCAAAAATATGCAAAAAGAAAACAAGACAATCGTCCCCAAACTATTTTTTAACTATGTGTGAATATTCCTCCTGTAGGGGGACAGGCCCGACTTAAGCATAGGGAGGCAATCGCCCACTGATCGCCGATAGTGGCCCGATAGCCCCACCCCGCCCAGGAAGGTGCGGACTCGCGATCGGGAGCCTGTCGCCGATCAATCGGCGATGCATCGCCGATTTCAGGTCGATGCATGCCCCCTATGCCAGTCCCCCCCTATCGCTGTCCCTCAGGGGGGACCAGAGCGGAGGCACGCGCACGAGCTCCGACGGCGGCCGAGGCGACGCCGACTGCGCCGACGGCGACAATGGCGACAGCGGGGCCGACGGCGGCGACTGCGCCGACTGCGCCTGCGACGGCGACGACGACGACGATGACGACGACGATGACGACGACGACGCCAGCAGCGGCGGCGGCGGCGGCGACTCGGTGGCGGGGCGACCCGCTGGCCGAGGACCCGAGCGGGGGTGCGTCCGGCAGGGAGCCGCACGAGCTCGGGCCAGTTTCGCGGGCCGCGCTCCGCGGGATGCGCCTGCGCGAGCTGAACTCCATGTCGTGGAGCCCCGGCTGGAGCTCGCGGGACGCGCTCAGGCCAGCGGCGCGTGTGGCTGCACCTTTCCAGAGCGAAACGTCGGCACAAGCAAAAAACGAGAAGCGTTTTCATGGCAGTACTAAAAGGTATGGGCAATTGAGGGGCCGAGGAGAGCCCTGGAAGAAATGTGGGATGATATGGGAAATCCTGGAATTGGTGCCCCTGGCCCCTGGGCCTCTGTAGACCTAGGTCACCCCCAGGGGCACGAAGATGATGGCGTCGCGGCCTGGGCCAGAGCGGCTGCCCTTCTCCAGTTGGGTGGCGCGAGGGAGCGAAACAATCCTCTCGTCGCGGGGCGCGATGCGCGAGGTTAGTCGTCACCCACCAAACCACCCCAACCCAACCCGAAGGCCTCAATTTGCCCTCTATTTCCAGTGGGGGGGGGGCGTCGGGGAACTTGAAAAAACAAATAGGACCCGTACCCCCCCCCCAAACCCGAAATTCGGGCGAAATTCAGGTGTTCGGGTTGGGTTGGGGTGGTTTGGTAGGTAGTCAGTGAGGTGTCCTGGACAGCCAGGACGCTGAAACGAGGACCACGTTGGGTTCGGGAGGTGCCCTGGTCTCCGGGCTGTGTCTTCAGATCCGGGTCGGGGAGGCGTCATTCGTGGCCGAGGCGCGCAGTGGCCAGGACGGCCCTTCCTTACCTGTTCGGCGCTCCTTCTGGTGGCACGATGGCTGCAGGTCCCCCCCCCCCCCCAGGGGCGCGAAGAGCATGGCACTCCGCGCGTCGCGGCCCGAGGGCTGGAGGGCTGCCCCTCTCCACGGTGGTCCGAAAAGGTACCCAAACGGTACCTAAACGAGCCCCCTGGGGCTCCGGAGGGGCCCGAAAGGGGCACGAAAGGGGACCGTTTCTGACCCCCCCATTTGTGACCCCCCCATGAAGCCACGCCCAAGGTCGGAGAGGGGGTATGGCATCAAGGGGAGTGGTGCCAATCGCGGGAGTCGAGATGCTAGCTAGGATCGATAACCTCGCCAGATCCAGCACTGGCACCACACTCCTTTACATCGTACCCCTTTCATGCCCTTCGACACGGGGACAGTTCACCCGATGGTTGATCTCGGGGACACGTAAGACTCGAGTAAGCCGGAACTCGGGTTTGCCGACGTCTTCTGACGAGTGCGTCGTGGATTTTGGCGGTCCAGTTTTCTTGGGATGTTTGCAGCGGGAGCTCGCGTCAAATTTCAGATTGAGTCTCGTCATTTTTATGATGGCCCCGTCAGGCCAACCCGAATCCCCCGTACCCGAGTCTTACGATTCCCCGACAATCGGGGCTCAAGATACGGGGGTCAATGCAAGCGGGGGTCAGCCAGAGCGCCGGATCTTGCAAGATCCTGCAGGGCCAGGGGCGCACTGACCCGGGTTTGGGCGCAGGATCCTGCAGGATTTTGCAGGATTTTTGTCATTGATCCAGGTTTGCGCTTGTCGTTGATCCGGGTTTGCGTGCAGGATTTTGCAAGATCTTGTATAAGGCCTGACTGACCGGGTTTGCGTTGACCTGGGTCAGTGCGTCCACGAGTTAATTCGCCCGGAACTTGAGCTCACCCGATCTTTGGTTCACCCGCGCCGAATTCTCCCGATACTTAACTCACCCGATCTAGCTCACCCGATCCTCAATGCATTTTGCCTAACTCACCCGATCACGTGGGCTATGCCACCCGATTTTGAATTCACCCGGCCTAACTCACCCGATTCTTAACTCACTTGGTCTGGCACGCATAGTTACCTAACGGCGAAGACTGATAGGTTTCTAATGGGGTCAAAAGAGAGCATCTGATGACTCCCCAGGGGGGTCTGGGCGGGAGCCGGACAGGCGACGGCGGGGTTCGTTTTAAGCTAACAGTCACACACTTCGTGCTCTTCGACCTCCCAAAACTCTATTCCCGGGCCACATTTTGAATGCCCGGAGCCAACTGTAGGCTACTTCGTGCTCTTCGACTTCCCAGAACTCCACTCCCGGGCCACATTTTGGATGCCCGGAGCCAACTGTAGGCCACTTTGTGCTCTTGGACTTCCCAGAACATCATTCCCGGGCCACATTTTGGATGCCTGGAGCCAACTGTAGGCCACTTCGTGCTCTTGGATTTCCCAGAACATTATTCCCGGGCCACATTTTGGATGCCCGGAGCCAACTGTAGGCCACTTCGTGTTCTTGGACTTCCCAGAATTCCACTCCCGGGCCACATGTTGAATGCCCGGAGCCAACTGTACGCCACTTCGTGCTCTTCGACTTCCCAGACTTCCAAGACTCATCATCTTCATCATCATCATCGTCCCCGTAGCCTTCTTGGCTACAGCCCTGTTTTCGAAGATTTCCTTTCAAAGGAACTGCGCAGCGCCTACTGCGCACCTTAATGCCAGGACATGCTGATAGTTCTCGGTCTGGCGGCGGTGCTCCTGACCCTGCTGCATTGAACAGCGGTGCTCTTCAGCCTGCGGCAGGGAACAGCGCTGCTCCTCAGCGTGCTGCATTGAGCGGTCCTCTGCAAACGCTCGTCGAGCACGTGAAGCAGTTCGGCCGGATACCGAAGCGAAATAAAGGAACGTCCGAACAAGAACGGGCCGAAAACAAGTTGGCCAAACGTTTCTCGGACCATCGCGACCGGATCCCCAAAAACATTTTGCATGAACTGCGGGCCCTAGGCTGTGCTGATCAGCAGACGGAGACCGAGGAGTTCAGACACACGCACACATACACTAATAGCACACAGCAAACACACCCACGCACATACACACACGCACACATACACTAATAGCATTTCCTCGGCGCCACAGGGTGCGCGCTGCGAGTGGACGCGCTCTGCCCTGCACGCTCCCAAAGCGTGCCAGGCGTGGCATTTCCTCGACGCCACAAGCGGTGCGCTGTGGATGCGGGCCCTCTGCGTCGCAAGCTTCGGAGCGTGACAGGCGTCGCATTTCCTCGACGCCACATGCAGCTCCCAGGATCTTCAAACCATCGCCATTCTGGTTCCAAAAGCTCCCTTGTTCTACGCGTCTGCCATCGGACGCGCCACCGTGCCCTGCACGGTCTTGCTCACCCAGCGTCACCGTGCCCTGCGCGGTGCTACTCAGCCTGTGTCACCGTGCCCTGCACGGTGCTACTCAGCCTGCGTCGCTGCGCCCTCCACAGTGTTCCTGAAGGTGGGCTACCATGGCTACTGCCGCAGACCAGCCAACGTCGCCACTGGGTAGTCTCACGAAGAGCAGCGCTAAAACCCAAGACTTCCTAGTCTGGGTGTACGAGCCCAGGGGGGGTACTCGTGCAAGAGCAAGCGCAATGGCCAGCAGGTCGATGCAATACGATTCACGTGCATTCTGCTTGGCACGAACTCCGAGCACCATTGCGAGGCGACCCTCAAAGGAACTGCATCAGAAGTGAAGACTGCACTCGAGAAATTCCCCCCGCTCACAGCGCGGAAATTCTCCAAGCTTGGCCTGGACGGACAGCAGCAGGACGCTTTTGTCCACACGTCTGTTCGTGTCGTGGTCGATCTCAAGCGCACGCAGTGCACTCCTGTCCTCCAGAGCTCTCAGGAGGAGACTCCTTGGCATCGGCGCCGGCTCCACAGACTACTGTGGCAGACATGATGAACATCAAGTCGCGTCGCTGCTTCGACGTCATGGCAGTGGTTCATTCCGTTTCAGACACACGCACTCCCGTGGGCCACCCTCCAGTGGCACATGTACACTTGGTGGACGGCGCCCAGACGACACAGTCCAAGACTGCGGAGGCTGTGGTTGCTGTCTGGGGAAACGCCAACATCGAGAAATGTAGGTCACACAAAGGCGAACCGCTGCTGTTTCTCAGCGTAGCGGCCAAATTCGAGGGCGACTTGGAGCTGAACCTGTCGCAGGATCGCGCGGTGGATGACGTATGCTCTTGTCCCAGAATGACCCAGCTCAAAGACCTGGCGGCGCAAGAGCACTTCGCGCAGGACCGGGGGCAGCTGACAACCGCCCATGAGGTCACATGGGACCCAGACCACGCTTCGCAAGTTCTCACCGGGGACACGCTCTTGTCCTGCTGTGCCTTTCTGGCGATGGCGTCGGAAGACCCGACCGCAACCTTGCCGCGCTTGTTGCAGGTGAACGGGATGAGGCTTGAGGAGCCAGGGCCCGGCGACTCTGTGGTGGAGAGCAAAGGTCAGCGCGTATTCTTCACCACTACTGCCCGCGATTTCAGTGGCTCCTGCAAAGTTGCCGTCTCCCAAGCGGCAGCCTTCGCGTTGAGTGGCATTGATGCCATGGCCGAGTTCCAGAAGGTCCACGATGAGAGAGCTATCTCCTTCCCTTCTTTGGGCAATTGCCGCATGATACGACGCGTGCACCATGTGGCTGCGGGATCAGACGATGACACGCTTGAGCGGACTTTGTCAACACGACTGTGGTTGCAGCATCCTCGCTCCAGATATCGCACGCTCCCAATACCTCTTACAATGTCGTCTTGGAGATCCTGAAGCAGTGCCGCGAGAGCCAGGGTGCCATGCTCGGGGCACACCTCTCTCTCTGAGATACGTCCTTGCCCCTTCCACTGCGTGCGCGTGGAGCATCCCCCGGCGAGTGGCGAGGTGGCGCTTCTCAGCTTGCCCGGAACTGCCACTTGGCAGTGGCTCTTGTTCGCACAGCACAGAAGTCGCGGTGCGTGTCCACTGCGAGTGGCTTCCTCGTGTCTACACCAGGTGTGACGGACGCCTCTGACGATGAGAATTCACACGCGGTGACCATTCACGGCTATTGCTCCGTAGACAACTTGCTCTCCTTCAAAATGGACCCGCCCAACAGAGCAAAGCACAGAGTCTGCCTGTTGCTCATTACAGGCTGTTCAAAAGATGCTATCACGGTGCACAACGTAACCCGCATCGACGAGGGCGCAGTGACAGAGGCGCAGTACTTCATCAAGAAATTGAGGACTGGGGATGCGCACAGAGCTCCAGCAATCTGGCGAGCACAAGCGGATGAATGCGTGGAGTAAGACACCCGACTCAGCCAAGAAGTACAGAATCTTCGAAGGCCACCCGCCAGGAGAAAGCTTGACATGAGGTGCTGCTGTCTTGCCAGCGATGCTTCTCAGCTTGCTGCACCTCGCGTGCCTCAGGCTGTTTCGCTGCTTGCTCGGCGGGTTCGGATTCGCCTTGCAGTCAGCCAGCGATGTTTGCCTCAAGTCTCTCGCTTCACAGCCCCCGCTGACTCACATTCGCCTGCGGTGCTTCTCAGCCCTCAGTTGCTGTTGTAACTGCTTTCGCGGGATTACTCACTTGGGCCCGCAGCGCTTCTCGGCCCGCCACTGCTCTTGCGAGTGCCACCGCAAAGTTTTGGTTTCAGCACAAGAATAACGTGCTACAGTGGGTGCGGGAGTGAGTGCCGAAGGTGCTGCCGCGGCTGTCGACGGGCCCCCGCGGCGGCTGCACTCGCCGCCGCAACTGACTCACGTTTTGCCTGCGGTGCTTCTCACCCCGCAATTGCTTTTCTAGACGCGTCGATGCTGCGGTGGTCGGCAGTGTCTCGTTTGCAAACAAATGTCATATTGATAGCAGTGTCCCGCTCCGCACTAAATCCATTGATAGCAGTGTCTCGTTTGGACCAACATCCGTTGATATCAGTGTCTCGTTTGAACCTACATCCATGTATAGAAGCGTCTCGTTTGAAGAAACAGAATCCATCGAAAACAATGCATCGTTTGGAGCTGTCTCCATTGATGGCCGTTTCTCATTTGGATATAAAGCCATTGATAGCAGGGTCTCTTTTGGAGATGCACTTGTCGAAAGCAGTGAGTTCTTCGAATCTACATCCATTGACAGCAGTGTCTCATTCAGAGACAAATCCATTAGTGATAGCAGTGCATCTTTCCAGACTAAATCCATGGCGAGCAGTCTCTCGTTTACGCATGCGCTAGTGGATAGCAACGTGTACTTGGTACTACTACTGTTTATGCTACTTCCACTACTACTTCTACTGCTACCATTACTACTGATCGTCCTACCACTCCAGCTCGTACTACTAGTACCACTGGTGGGCCTACTACTACTACTACCATTACCACTGCCATTCAGAGTGCTACTGATGTTGCTGCTGCTGCTGCTGCTGCTGCTCCTGTAGCTATTGCTGTTGCAGCTGCTGCCATTGCAACTACTACTCCGACTGGGGGTACTACCGTTGCCACCACTGAGGACACTTTGAGCTCTCCAGTATTGATTGTACACATCAACATGCGACAAGATCCGTAGCCACTTGTTTGCTCGAGATCCACCTGTGCGCCCAGCCGCGGCGGTGCTCCTCAGCCTGCTTTCTCGCAATGCCAGGACGCGACAAGGCGGCGTCGCCCCCGCCACCCCCGCCACCATCTGATGTCCCGGAGGAGTCTCTGCCGCTTCCGCCCGGACCGCCTGCTAGGCCAGATTTCGACGTGGTTTTTGAGCGAGCTCACCTCGAAGAGGTCCCCCGTGCACCAGGCATGGGTGGCAAGACCGCCTGCCAATGGCAGCGCCCGCTGCGCACGCAGTGCATTGCCGACGACGTGTCGTTCAGAGACGTAACAAACGACCCGTTCTACGACTGGAAGCAACTGCTTCGGTCTGCCGCTCCGGGTCTCGCTGACCGGGTAATCGGCCAGGGCATCGTCCGGGTTCTCTTTCGCATCATCGAGACAGAGCGCGACCCAAACTACTCCAACACGGATGGCCACGGCAGGCATTTCTTTGAGTTCGTTCGCACAGACGGCTCAGCCATGCGCCTGCATTACCACAAGAACGGCCGACCCGATGAGCCCACCTATGTCGGTCCACCACGCGCCGTTGCTCAGCCTGCGGTGCCTGGGCCTGCCGCTACTCAGCCTGATGTACCTGGTGGCAGCGCTGCTCAGCTTGCCATGCCTAGCGGTGGCGCTGCTCAGCCTGCCGTGCTTGGCGGTGATGCCCCACTGCTCTTCACACTGGAGCACCTGCAAGAGGCCGCCCGCTCGCGCCAGACTGTGGGCCGCGACGAAGCGAGCGCCGCTCTCCAAACGCTGTTGCACTACCACCATGGCGAGACTGCCCCAGGTGCTGTTGACATCACCGATGGCTCAGCGTTTGACTGGCTTCGATGGGTGGCACAGATCTAGGGTGCGCGCGGCGGCATCCGGAATGGCGTCCACAGGGTCTACGTTGCCCGCTGGAATCCGCACTGGGCCCCAGAGGCCGTCTTCTGCTACGGCAACAACACGTACAGCACACTGGTGCCTCGCAGCGCGCGATACAATGGCTCATGGAGCCACGCGCGCATTGTGATTCACCGACAGGCCAATTGGGTGACCGAGTCGTTGCTCTCTGCGGCCCTTGTGGCAGCTACGCCGTGGCTGTTGTTGCGGGATCAGGTGACCTGGGAGTGATCTCTGGCAAACAAACTATGGTGCTTCTCAGCCTGCATCCATGTGACGCGCAATGCCGTGGCCTGCACTCGCGTAGTGCTTCTCAGCCTGCACTCGCGCGGTGCTTCTCAGCCTGCGCCTCCTCGGTACTTGCCGGCCGCCGGATTGGCGCGATTTCCTGCAACACAAGCGGGAGAGGTGAAGTATCCGAGCCCGCGTGTCCACGGTGCTTCTCGGCGTGCGTACTTGTAATCCTAGTTCCAGCAGTAGTAGGACTGCGCGGCCGCGGTGCTTCTCAGCCTCCGAGTTTCTGCGGTGCTTCTCAGCCTGCAAGTTTTGCCGACTGTCCGCTTCGCACGCCGCTCCTCAGTGCGCTCCTCTTCCGTTTGCGAGATGTCTTCCTATATTTGGTTGGAGGCCGAGAAAGACGGACAGAATTAATCCAAGTAGCGCGGCCATCATCCCATCATCTTCCTCAATCATCACATCATCATCATCATCATCATCAATGGCTTCGCCGAGCACCCTGGTGGAGACTCAGGTCTCACGGGTCCGTGCCCATACTACTACTACTACTATTACTACTACTACTACTACTACTACTACTACTACTACTACTACTACTACTACTACTACTACTACTACTACTACTACTACTACTACTACTACTACTACTACTACTACTACTACTACGACTACGACTACTACTACTACTACTACTACGACTACTACTACTACTACTACGACTACTACTACTACTACTACTACTACTACTACGACATCACACTAAATCCATGCATGGGAGGGCTTGTTTTGGAACTACATTCATTGATGCAAGTGTGTCGTTTGAGGCTCAACCCGTTAATAGCAGTGTCTCGTTTGGAATCACATCCGTTGATAGCAGTGTCTTGTTTAGACCTCCATGCATTTATACAAAGATCTCATTTGGATATACCGTTATCGAAAGCAGTGTTTCTACTGCTACTACCACTGCTCCCATCATTCCTACTCGTTCACTCCACACACTACAACTACTACTTCACTGTTACCGCTACTACCATCACTACTACGTCTACTGCTACTACTACTGTTACTATTACTGCTGCTGCTGCTGTTGCTGCTGCTAGTGTAGCTATTGCTACTGCAACTACTGGCAGTGCCACTGCGACTGCCGCTGATGTTGCCACTGCGACAGCCATTGCGAATCCGAATGCGACTGCGAGAACACCAGAATTCTACAACAGCACTCTTACATGAATACCACAGGCAATGTTTCCAGCTATGCTTCTACACGTCGCTGTTAGGTTGCTTTGCCGGGATAATTTTGAATTTTCCAGCCATCCTGAGACTCAGTATCGTTTAACCGACCCCTACCATCTCCATCCTCATCTCGGCCCCCACCATCCCACCACCCGAATTGGGGCATCCCCCTCGAAGCCCGAAGCGAACGGCCCGCATCTCCATTCAGTGGGGCCCAGGCCGCGCCCCCCGGGAACAGGGGTCGGTTACGCGATGCTCGGAGACGGGCGCCCGCCCCCGCGTTTTCTGCCTGTCATGAAGAGTTTCGCCTTCTGCCGCCGCCCACCCTTCCCCTGCCTCCGCTTGTCTGCACGGCTGGGTCGAGCCGGGTGGACTGGCCGATCGGTCGGCAGCCTGGCTACTCGGCCGGTTCGCTGTCTGGGTGGACGGTCGACAGGTTTGTTGGCTAGCTTGTTGGCTGAAGGGACGGTTCGCAGGCTTGCTGGCGGCGAGGGGAATGTATCTTTTCGGGCAGTGGGGGGTAGCGTGCGTTTTCGGAAACTAAGAACCTCACCCTCTTGACAAACGCAGATGGTGCTCTGAGATCTGGTGTCTGCAACTCACAGTTGTCAAGCTGCAGAGATCCTAAGGATGCTGCAGCGTCGCGGATTACCTCACTGCACCGATGAGATGTGAGCTGCTCGGCTGCTGAAGCCTGATCCTCGCGGCCCGATTGCCCGATTGCCCCCACAAGGGTTGCCGCCAGATTCTCACCCGCGCCCGCCGAACAGAAGACACAGGGGTGCTCCTCAGATGGTGTCGGAGGCCTCAGAGAAGCCCCGCCGCCCTCTCGGACAGCCGCCTCCCTCGCCCCACCCACACGCTCGCGCCCCTTGCCCAGGCCACCCCCAGGGGCGCGAAGCTACTCGCGCTTCGCGCATCGCGGCTCGGGTTGGAAGTGCGCCCTTCTCCCAGGCGGCCCTACGGGGGCGCGAAGGTGACCCCGCGTCGCGCACCGCGGAGCGCGATGCGCGAAGTTGGGCGACCTAGCTTGCGCGCACAGCCAGTCAGGGCCGCCGCCCTCTCCGGCGAGCGCGCCCGCGACAACAACGCCGCCTCGTGGAGCTCGCGGGGCTCGGCCGCGCTCAACCTGTGCGAGGTCAACGCCGCCTCGTGGGGCTCGCGGGCATCCGGCTCGCTTCCGCACTGGATGGCCGCCGACCGCGCGGCATCGGCGCGGTCCCTGGGCCCGCGGGCCACCACAGACGAAGCCCGCGGAGGAGGAGGGCTGCAGTGGCAGTCCGCGGTGGAGGAGGAGGAGGATCCACGGCGAAAGCTCACGGCAGGTTCGTGCCGCGTTGTCGCGGCGGCGGCTCCGGCGCGGGCGTCCGAGGTCGAACGCCGCCAGAGGCCCAAAGTCGGCCGATCTCGCACGAACCAGGAACAAGGACCGCTCGGGGTTCCGAGGGGGCTCGCTGTTCCTCGGGTCATTTCGTGGTTGTTCCTCTAGCCCTCCTCGTGCACCCAGGCGCTGCTGGTGCCAGAGAGGGGCCTCGTTCCGTACGTCGCATTCGCTACCTCAGCGGCCCGACCTGCATCGGAAATCTCCGATCGTTCGAGACTGGGCGATCCACGCGGCGTCGGAGACCGATGCCGGCGTCCTCCCGGCGCGAACCCGCGGCAGGTCTCCGTACCCGCCGGTCTGGAGACGTGCTCCCGATGATCTCGCGGAGCGCTGGTTCTGGATTCGGCCACGCGCAGAAGGGGGGGCAGGGGGTCGGAGGGCACCAACTATACACCAACACCGCTCCTGGCCCAGGATCACCCTGGGCCCAGGATCGGTGTATATACCTTCTTGCCCAAGGCAGGAGGGCGTATACACCGATCCTGGGCCCAGGGTGATCCTGGCCAGGATCGGTGTTGGTGTATAGTTGGTGCCCTCCTAAGGGGGACGGGGGAAGGCTTCTGGGAAGCACCCCTGCTTCTCAGAAGGCGCGGGCCTTCTCTTCAAGAGGCAGCCTCCTTCCGCGAAGCAGCCCCCTTCTCAGAGGCCTTCCCCCCTCCCACGACCCTCATCTGCGCGCCGCCAATGGATACCGCCCAGTTCCTTCTGGGCGGGAGATCCGCATGAACGCTCGGCGAGATCCTCAGAGTCGCATCTCTGGATCGGTGGATCTAGGCCGCCCCCCAGGGGCGCGAAGACAGCACCGCGCTTCGCGCGTCGCGGCATGGGTCAGACTGGCCGCCGTTCTCCAAGAGGGGCGGCGCCTGGGCGCGGGAGCGCGACGATACACCGCGCGCCGCGCACCGCGGAGCGCGGTGCGCGAAGCCGGCTGCGTGCGGACGAGCCCCCCGACGCGGCGAGGAGGAGCTGGGCGTCAGCCTCTGCGACGTCAACACCGCCAGCTGGGGCTCGGCGGGCTCGCACCGGCCCTGGCCCTCGCTGTTCAGCGCCGCCCGGGGCCCGCCCTCGGGCACGCACCGCAGCGTCCAGGATCGGCGGCGAGCCCGGGGCGGGCTCCCTCTCGGGAGGCCCCGGAGGCCTCCGGCCTTCCGAGGAGTTGGCAGAGCTGCTCCGGACAGAGAGAGAGGCGGCTCCTCAGAAGGCCGGAGGGCCTCTGAGAAGCCCCGCCGCTTCCTGAGAAGGCTTGCCCCCGATGACCACGACGACGACTACCACCACCACCACCACCACGAGAACGAGGACGAGGAGGAGGAGGAGGAGGCAGAGGAAGATGGGGGGGTCGAGGAGTTGAGGAGTTGAGGAGGAGGAGGAGGAGGAGGAGGAGGAGGAGGAGGAGGAGGAGGAGGGACGACGACGACGAAGACAACGACGACGACGACGACGACGACGACGAAGCCTCTCGACGAAGCCCCTCCCCCGACAGGAGGTGATGGACGACCTGGCTCTCTCGAGCCCGGCGTTCGGCAGGGCGCCCGGCAGGGACCTCCCCGCCAGGCGTCCAGCGGGGCCCAGGCAGCCCGAGAGGGGGTCGCTGGCGAGCCTGGCGTGGGGCGACCTGCCCGTCGAGGACGGCGCCCCGCAGCCGGACCCCTGCGAGGATCGGCTACGCGCAAGAGTGGCCTCGGCACCACCCACACATACCTCTACTAGTAAGTTCGGGCGAAGAGAACTATGCACATGCACCGATCCTGGCAAGGCCCATCCTTGACCCAGGATCGGTGCATATGCCTTCCTGGCCAAGGTAGGAGGGCGTATGCACCGATCCTGGGCTCAGGATGGGTCTGGCCAGAATCGGTGTATGTGCACAGTTCTCCTTCCTCTGACATACCTCTACTAGTAAGTCGGGCGTGTCCCTCTACAGGAGGACTGTTCGAGAATAGTCAAAAGATAGTCAGGGGACGACGTGTTTTTGATTACTTTGGAGTAGTTGGGGGAGTTTTTGTTTTGTGCATTTTTGACTTTTCGTCCAAGCTCCCCCTGTAGGGGGCATCGACCTCACGCAAGAGTGACCTCGGCACCACCCAAACATACTCTCTACTGTGTGCGCGTCGACCCCGCCAGGGCGAAGCGCACGCGCAGAAATTCTGCAGCATGTGGTCGCTGTCTGCTTCACTGTTTTGCCGATCGGCACGGGCCCTCGCCACCTCCCCCCTCCATGGAGTACAGTGGGGGCGCGCATCGCGAAACCATCTGCTGTTCGTCAGGGTAATTATCCTGGGTTTCTTCGCTCCGCGCGCCGCGCGGTGGCTTCCCGCAGCCGGGGAAGTAGCGGCTGCGTTCAGGGTGCTCCGGGTTCCCCTCAGGTGCACCCGGGCGCGGGTTTTCAGGGTTGGGTTTCTTGCGAGGGTTTCTTGCGGCCGCGCCCGCACTGTAGATCTTAGCTGTTTTTTGCGCCTGTTTCAGGCGGGTGGAGTCTCCCCCATGGGACGCACTGCTGCAAACAGTCGCATCAAGCAGAGGTCCGGAGCCAGACCCGCCCCCTTCCCCCCCCTTCCGCCCAATGGCGAAACGCCGAACAAGAAAACGTTCACTAGGTTGAAGTCGGGCGTGTCCCTCTACATGACGAAAATCCAAAAATAGTCAAGACATAGTCTGGGGACGATTTTTTTTTAGTATTTTTGGGCATGTTTGGGGCATTTTTGAGTATTTGTTGTTTTTCGTCTCGGAGCCGCCTGTCGAGGGACATGCCCGACCTAGCACTAGGTATGTGCGCGTCGGCCCCGCAAGGTCGACGCGCACGCTCAGGGATCTCACAGTATGAGCTCTGTGGCGGGCGCGGGCACTTTTTGGCGGAGCGCGCGCGGCTTTCGGGGAGGCGCCGGGGGGGGGGCCGAAGCCAAGCACGAAGGGCGGCTGCCGTTAAGTCGGGCCTGTCCCTCTGCAGGAGGAATATTCAAAAAATAGTCAAAAAATAGTTGGGGGGGCAATTTTTTTCACCATTTTTGAATATTTTCGAGCAGTTTGGGGGGATGCCCGACCTAAGGCTACCGTCGCATCGCATGCCGCGATCGGCAGGCCGCGCACGAGAGGTCGCTCCTGCCTGCGGTCAGGCAGCAAATCATGGGATCCTTGTGCAGTGGCGGCCCATGCTAAACAAACACCCAGCTTGCCTCCAGGGTGACCTGGGTTTCGATGGTTCTGCGATAGAGGGCGCGACGTGCCCACACCAAAAGTCCATGGACGTCCTGGGGTCTCAGGGTTGGATTTCTTGTGGACGGTTTCTTGTGATCGGGCTCCTGCTGCACGGTCAGGTAGCAAATCATGGGATCCTTGTATGTCATTTCAACTCCGTCTTTAGAGTGCACTCGCGTGCGCTAGCGTCTGGCAGTCGACGAAAAAGCGCCGATTCAGCGTCAATTGCGAAGGGCTTGGAAGACGGCGTGGGAAGCTCCCATGAGTCGCCACAGATCAATGGCCCCCACTAGGCCGTGGTACCATAGCCCCACCATCTGACCCCGCTAGTTGGGGATATACTTTGTTTAATCCGAATGGAACAGCCTGGTCGAGGGTTCACAGCTCCCCCTCAAGATGGGATGGGTCCCAGGATTGCATTGCCCCCCCCGTCCAGATGGGGATGGGGAGGGGGACAAAGACGAAGACGACGACGCCGCCGACGACGACGACGAAGACGACGGACGAAGATGACGACGACGACGACGACGACGACGACGACGACGACGACGGACCAAGACGACGACGACGACGCCGCCGCCGACGACGACGACGACGCCGCCGTCGACGACGACGACGACGCCGACTCCGACGCCGACGCCGATGCCGATGCCGACGACGACGACGACGCCGACGCCGACGCCGACGCCGACGCCGACGCCGACGACGACGACGACGAAGACGAGGACGACGTCGACGACGGCGACGACAGAAGACAGAAGATGGAAGACGGAAGACGGAAGGCGATGACGACGATGACGACGACGACGACGGAAGCGGAAGACGGCAGTCGGACGACGACGACGACGGCGGAAAATGTAAGACGGACGACGACGACGACGATGACGACGACGGCTATCCACCCCACATCCACAGGGAGGGGGGGAGCTCCAGCACCCTTCTCCATGCCACGACCACAGGGTTGGGGAGCGATCCCATTCGCAAGGCGGCTCACGGGCGTACCAGTCCAGCGAGTTGGGGGGGCTGGATCCCATGTGCATGGGGGGGGGAGGGGCAAGGCTGGATCTCAGGAGGGGAAAAAACACACAGACACAATTAATCGTCGATTCCCATGAAAATATGCGAAAATATGGGAAGTGGGGTGGAAGACAGAAACCCAGAAAATATGCGAAAATATGGGGGATAATTTTATTTGTGTGTATTTATTTGTGTGTTCTTGGGCCCCTTCAGGATCATATATCTCCATCTAGGGGGATGAATCGGCCAGCGAGACCAAGGCCACGCCCTTGGGGCAAGGGACCGCTTTGAACGATGCTCACAGGGCCTCTCCTGCGCGTGTCCGAGAGGACCCGGCGCCTGGCCGGGACTTCCCCTCCCCTCCCGGGCAGCACCCGCGGGAACCGCGGGGCGCGTGCGAGCCGCGGGAGCTGGGTGGCCCTCCGCCCAGCGGCTCGCCGCGGCCGCGGCCGCTGCCGCCGTGACGTGGCCGTGGCCGCGTGGCCGTCGCTCGGGCGATGAGAGCTATTCGGAGGAGGAGGTAGCTACCCAAGAGCACCAACGACAGCGGCACCAACAGCAGCACCAGCACCAGCAGTACCAGCGATGCTAGAGTTCCTTATCCTCCTCCTTTTCCTCCTCCTCCTCCTTTTCCTCCTCCTCCTCCTCCTCTGCCGCCTCTTCGCCGTCGTCGTCGTCGTCGTCGTCGTCGTCGTCGTCCTTGCCGCCGTCGTCGGTGTCGTCGTCGTCGTTGTCGTCGTCGTCGTCGTCGTCGTCGTCGTCGTCGTCGTCGTGGTGTCTGCTGCAGAAGTCCGCGTCAGCCAGCCCGCCGCCGGCGCCCCGGAGAGCACACGAATGCACACGAATGCACTATGGTGATGATCATGGTGATGCTCGACAGTGCGTCCGAGTGAAAGGCAGACAGTGCGGTGTCAGTTCAAGCAGTGCAGCAGGTCAGCGACCGCCTAGATGCGATCCCCCGAGCCTCGCGCCCGCCTGCCATCACGAGCACGAGTATTGTAGGACCACCAGCGGCGCCGCCAGCAGAAGCGCCGGCGCAACGAGTGCCGCGACCGCAGCCGCAAACACCGACGACCGCCACCACGACCATCATCACAACTACAGTGGAGACCCATGGCAAGAGACCCTGCTTGCCTCCAGGGTGCCCTGGTCTTCTTCGGTTTCGATGGTCTTGCTATGGAAAGCGTGACGTTCCCACACCAAACATCAATCGACGTCCTGGGGTCTCAGGGTTGGGTTTTTGTGGGAAGGTTTCTTGTGGTCGAGCTCCTACGGTACCATGGCCGCTCCCGAAACAACCGCCAGCAGGACCGCCAGCAGAACAGCCAACACAACAATGAGCACGACGGGCCCGCGGGCGGGGCGGCGGGCGGCGGCCCGCCGGGCCCGCAGGAGGAAAAAAAAGGAGCCCAGGGGAAAAAATAGAAAACATTAAGGAACGGTTCCCCCTCTTCGCCTCCACCGTGCGCCGACGTCGCTGGCTGTAATTATGGTCTGTTGCGTTGAGAAAGCCCGGAGTGGTCCTGCCAGTAGGACCCTTTGGACACGCGCAGGTCCTCTATTTTCTTTTGTTCGGCTATACGTAAGAGCGATGGGTGAATGCGGTGCGATAGCAGCGGCCTGCGCGCTCCTGTTCGGCCTTCCCGCGGCCCCCAAAAGCCGCGTACCGAAAGTTACTCTTGTAATTAGCCAACTTCTGTCCTTCTTCTGCCTCGTCTCACTGTCCCTCCCTGGCGCTGGGCGCTGGAGGCCGTCGAGGCGCCCTGGGATCGACTGCCAAGCCAAAGTGTGTGTGTGTGTGTGTGTGTGTGTGTGTGTGTGTGTGTGTGTGTGTGTGTGTGTGTGTGTGTGTGCGTGCGTGCGTGCGTGCGTGCGTGCGTGCGTGCGTGCGTGCGTGCGTGCGTGCGTGCGTGCGTGCGGGCGTGCGGGCGTGCGGGCGGGCGTGCGTGCGTGCGTGTGTGTGTGTGTGTGTGTGTGTGTGTGTGTGTGTGTGTGTGTGTGTGCTTGTGTTTATGTTTGTGTGTGCGTGCGTGCGTGCGTGCGTGCGTGCGTGCGCGTGCGTGCGTGCGTGCGTGCGTGCGTGCGTGCGTGCGTGCGTGCGTGCGTGCGTGCGTGCGTGCGTGCGTGCGTGCGTGCGTGCGTGCGTGCGTGCGTGCGTGCGTGCGTGCGTGCGTGCGTGTGTGTGTGTGTGTGTTTGTGTGTGTGTGTGTGCGTGTGCGTCCGTGTATAGTTGGCTTGGTTCTTTTTAAATATGTCCAGGCAATCTGGAAACACGCGTTTTTAATGCATTGGAAACGTTTTTGTCGCGCCTGTAGGTCCCAACAAGAAAATTGAAAACACCCCCAAAACGCTTATTTGTCGTTCGTTTCCAGTTGCGTTGCTTTGTGTTTTTGTTCGCATTAGTAGGTCGCATTGTTTAACATTGCCGTGACCACCAATGCTGGCGGGCCCGATGACCAATTGCCCCTCCTGGGACCATCGTGCCTCCTGGCCTACTTCGGGCGTTTTTAGTTCAGAGGGAGAACGGCGGCAGAAACGAAAAACGGGAGCGAAGATAGCAGGGAAGACAAGGAACAGCCTTAGACCAGAAACCACAGCGCCCCCAAAACCGGATCACCAGCGACGGGCCTAAAAACGCAAAAACAAAAAAAGAGAGAGGGAGCTCAAAAACGCTAAAACACCGTCGCGTTGTTTTTGCGTTGTTAGTTTGTCACGAGCCCAAAGTGCGAAACGGTAAAAAAACACGCCCAGGGCGCTTTGACAAAAACCAGTGTAATTGGCGCACCCCCAGCCTAGTGCTCGCGACGGTGCCGCCACCTCGCCGCTGGAGGGAAAAGCTTGTGTCCGTCCGTGCCGCCTGCCCGCGCACTGCTGCCTTGCGCACCTCCCCACCTGCAAAGCCTGGCGGAACTCACCACCCTACGTGCGTCACGTTCTAGCACTCGTTGCGGTGACGCCACCTGGCCGGCGGAGGCAAAAGAGTGCCCGCGTGTGTTTGCTTGGTGCTGCCTCGTTCCGCCACTCTCGCGTCTTCGCTGCCTCTGACACTTGCCGCCTCTCGCGCCCAGCCTACCCGCCTCAGTTCTCCCCCCTTTTGCCTTTTCTTGCCGTTGTCCCGCCGCCGCTGCTGGTGTCGCTTTTCCCTCCCTATCCCTCCCGCTTTTGCCCCCTTCTCTGGCCATCGTCGCTGTGCCTCGCCCGGTACGTGCTCCCGTCTGCCGCCCCCCGCTGCCGCCGACCAGCTTCCGTGTGTATCCTTGGCCTGACCCTGCCACTGCGGTCAGCGCGTCGACGAGCGAGCGCTTGCCGAGGAACAAGCGCGCCCATGTGCGGTTTCGCCCCGGCGCACCCGCCGCTTTGATTGTACGCTCGCCGCCTCGCTGCACGTCGCGCCCCCGCCATGGTCGACACCGCTCTTCACGCCTGGGACGGGGTTCCATCCGACAGTATCCCATCAGTCCAGTCCGTCCTGCAAGCGGGCCCGTTGGGGCCTTCCCCTTCACCAGCCGGCCTTCTCCCAGCCGTTTCATCTGCAACGCTGGATGCAATTCGCGCTGACGCGCCCCGTGAGTGCTTGACTCGCGATAACGGTCTCGCTCCGCCAGCGGAGGCAAAGTGTCCGTGCGTGCGTTGGGCGGGGGGATGGGGGAGGGCGTGCATGCGTTCGCGCGTGCGTGTGCTTGCACCATGTCGTTTTGATCGTCCAACGGATAAACGCGCTTCGCGCATCTTGGGTTGGAAAGGCGCCCTTCTCCAGGGCGACCTCGCGGGGGCGCGAAGGTAACCGCGCATCGCGCATCGCGGGGCGCGATGCGCGTAGTCAGGTGACCTAGGCAACGCGTTGCCCGACAGAGGGGGGTCGTGGAGCTTGCCGAGGTCCTCTGCAGCCATTGCACGAGATGCACCTGCGCGAGCTGAACTCTGTGTCCTGGAGCCCGGGCTGGAGCTCGCGGGACTGGCACAGGGCCGCGGCGGCGGGAGGAAATGTTCGGCACGATCGAAATTGGTATGGATGGAAAGACTGAGTACGAAGACCAACAGCAGATCCTCTTCATTTTGGACAGGACACGCTGTCGGTGTCGCCGCGGGCATTGTCCATATGGAAACAGGGTCCGCTTGCAGAACAGCGGCCGATGTGGGTTTTGGACAACATTTGTTGTTGGGCATCGCGCTCTTTTTTCCGTACCCGTTTCGGGCATCCAAATGCGCGATGGAGTAGCACAAGCGCACGCGGATGAGCACATTTCTGTTGGTGCCATTGCTGGCCACTCCTTGTGCTGGTGGTAGTTCTGCTGACCTTGAATGCTGGTGTTGCTAGGGTGGCGGCCAGAAAGTGAAAGGGAGGAAGGAAGTGGGAGGAGGCAGGAGGCGAAGGAGAAGGGAAGGGAGGAGGAGGAGGAGGAGAAGGAGCGAGAGGAGGGAAGAGGCAGAAGGTGGGAAGAGGCAAAAGGAGAGACGGCAGGGATGAGGCAGGCTGCGGCGCAGGCGTGCCGCCCGCCGGGATGGCCAAAGTTCTGCTTCGCGCGCAGACGTTGCTGTTGTCTGTGCGAGCCATTCTTCAGTTCGGGCGAAGAGAACTATGCACATGCACCGATCCTGGCAAGGCCCATCCTTGACCCAGGATCGGTGCATATGCCTTCCTGGCCAAGGTAGGAGGGCGTATGCACCGATCCTGGGCTCAGGATAGGCCTGGCCAGAATCGGTGTATGTGCATGGTTCTTTTTCCTCTATCAGTATCGTTTAACCGATCCCCGTCCCCCATCCCCATCCCTCTCGAGACCCCCACCAGATTGCCACCCCCGCTGGGGATATATATATATATATATATATAGAGAGACTGTTTTTTTTCAGGGTCTGGTGGTAACTCGGGTTCTCGGGCTTGCCCTCCCCCGCCCCAAGATAACGTAACATTGTCGGTTGTGCAGGTCTGGGGTGGTGGGCGCGGGCATATGCAGGGCTACCCACAGCGCGAAGATTAGGTTATTGGCTGGCCCCCTCTTCCCCCCCCCAGATAACCCAGGTTATCGCCGATTCCAAAAAACGTTCTCATACACCCCTCGAAACCCGAAGGGAACGACTTATCTCCCCATCTAGGGGGGTTAATCGGCCAGTGGGGCCCAGGCCGCGCCGCTGCATATGTCATGTTTTTCAGAAGCCGGGCGAAGGCTGGCAAACCCGTGGCTGCTAAAGCGGAGTTCCGGGAAATTGTTTTTTCCTTTTCCAGGAAGCAGCCCGCTTACTATTTGTGCGCTGAGCTTGATTCGGGGAAATCGTTTTTCTCTTCCGGGGAGATCGTTTTAGCAGCCACGGATTTGCCAGCCCTCGCCCAGCTTCCAAGTTTTCGCACGCGCTGCACATCTTATTCCCCAATCAGTGCTTGCACTGAAGGGGTCCAAGCGGAAATTGAAAGATTTAGCGCCGAATTTGGTAGCCGGCTCGGTTCCCGGGTTCCCAGTCGATCTCCTTATCGATCTCCTTATCGATTCCACGATCCATCAAACCATCCACTGATTGGGGCTTTCCTCCGGTGTAATATGCTGTGTTTACAGTGGAGGCCCTTGCCAAGAACCACTCTGTTTGCCTCCAGGGTGCCCTGGGTTTCTTGGGTTTCGATGGTTTTGCGATGGAGAGCACGACGTTCCCACACCAAAAATCGATGGAGGACCTGGGGTCTCAGGATTGGGTTTCTTGTGGAAGGTTTCTTGTGGACTGGCCTCCATTGTAGATGCTGTGTTTAGTTGCTCTTTGATTGTCCTCAATTCATTGGTTTGGCGCATTCTCCAAGCAAGCTAGCCTGTGGGGCTCTAACCCGCTACCTTGAACTGGTGCAAGGCGCCCCCCCCTCATTCTGTCGTTGCGCGATTCTGGTATCCCAATAGATCCTGGGGGGATGCCAGTGGATCATATGGCTACGGCAATGGATTAGTTTAGTAGGACATTGTATGCATTGGGTATGCCAATGGGTCCCTGGGTATTCCTATACGTTCCTATGTGTTCTCGTGTATTCCGATGCTTCCTATGTATTCCGGTGCATTCTTGCGGGTTTCGATGACGCGCAATGGAGTCCAATGGGGCCCAAAGGAGTCCGATGGAGACGAACGTGCTCCTGTTGCGTCTTATGGAGAACGACGGGGTACAGTGGAATGCACGCCTCCAATGGAGTCCAATTTAGTCGCATGGGCATTACAAGAAAGTCAAAATGGAGCCCAATGGAGTCCTATGAATACTCCAGTGGAGTCATTTGTAGCCACATGGAGTCCGACATAGTTCAGTCACATGGAGTGCAATGGAGACTAGCAGAGTCCTATGGAATCCAGTTGAGCCCAATGGAAACCACTGGAGTCCGATGGAGACCAATGGAGTCCAGCGGAGTTCAATGGAGTCCTATGCAGACGACTGGAGTCCAACGGAGCCATATGGAGACCGATGGAGGCCAATGGAGGCCAATGTAGTCCACTAGCCCAATGAAGTTCAATCGAGTCCTGTGGAGTCCAATGAGTTTCAATGAAGTTGCACACGGGTATTCCAATGGAGTCCTACAGCGTCCAATGGAGAATCCTACCGTGCCCAACCCAGTCTAATAGAGTCATATGGAGTCCAATGAGGTCCATGCATTCCAATGGAGCCCAACAAAGGCCTCTGTCTGAACATTCCAAGTGAGGCGCATGGGGTCTACTCGAGTAGAGCTCAAATGAGGCCACTGTAGCCTTGCGCAGTCATTTGGGGACAAGTGGGGTGCAGTGGAGCCAACTGGGGTCGTATGGAGTCGTATTCGTCCAGAGGGACCCATTCTGAGGATTGGCGTCAACGCTGGTAGACATGTGTAGAGATCGTGGCCGTCGTAGACGAGCTATGTATGTGTAAGCTCGTCTCTCGTGGTTCCACCATTACGCCATTGCGGCAGTGCTTAGTTGTCATTATCCGCGCCGCGGCCCACAATAGGTCACAACCAGTACCGTTATCGTCGACAGTCCTTTCAATTTGCTGCGTTACGAACACTCGATACTGAGACCAGAATAATACCTCCCCCATTCAGAATCTACCTGATCCTCAGCCTTCCATCCTCCGAAACGTTTTCGACGTTCGACCCAAGTATAGTACGGTACATTTTGTGGCGCCCCACAGGGCCGAACGTTTGCACCATACCGCGGTGAAATAGGACCCAAGGGAGTCCAAGCACGGTACGGTGCACGGGTATTGTTCTCATACAGTCAGAGCGCACAGTAAGGATGAGCGATTTTTCAAGGTTGTCTTTGTTTGTTTTCTCTTATTGCCCATCCTTGGCCACTTTCGTTGGCCGCGCCTCGCTCGGAAAGTGTCGGCATGGCCTTCCAATGCCCTTGCATCCTCATCGTGCATCCTTGCTATGCGTGTTGATTGTACCACCCGTCTCCTTTGAGGCTGGTGCCCTCGACGGCGACCTCGCGCGAGACATCAACGCTGCCTCGTGGAGCTCGCGGGGCTCGGCTGCCCTCAACCTGTGCGAGGCCCTCTCGGGGGTGGAGGGGGGCATTACCCACGGTCGAGGCTGATTAGTAGGTCGATCTTGCCAAGTCAAGGGTACCCTCGTGTGCTGCGTTTCGCAACCCATGCCTTCTTCATTTCTGCGGCAATGTGGCTCTCGGAAGGGTCTTGTGTCCTCTCGCGTGTCATCTCCAATCAACCTCGAATAGTCAGAAGATGCTCGCGCTTCGTGCATTGCGGCTTTGGTTGGAGAGGCGCCTTTCTCCAGGGCGGCGGCGAGAGGGCTCGAAGATAACCGCGCATCGCGGGGCGCGATGCGCGAAGTCAGGTGGCCTTATATTACGAGGGGACATAGCGGATGGCCCTTGAACGTCGGAGCAAAGAGGGTACTCGACGTTCTGTACTTGCCGACACCCCCAAATCGACCCCCAGGAGGCAGGGAGGAGGCAGGAGTAGGCAGGGAACAGAGAGCAAGGATCTGAGAGGTGGCAGTGTGCAGGGAGGGGGGAAGAGGCAGAACGGAGGGACTGGGAACAACGGGAAGACAGGAGTGGGTTGGGGGCGCCGCCCCCGCCGAGGTCAACACGGCTTCCTGGAGTTCACGAGTCTCCAACTCGCCGCGGGCTCGGCGCGGCGCGCGCGGGATCGCTCGGCTGCCTCAGAGAGGCGTGAGGGCGGGTAGCGGGCAGGACATATGGTCACCGTGCAGCAGGAGGAAGACGAGTGTTTCTGCTACGTCGGCGGCCTGGGCCTCCTTCCCTCCTCCTCGTTTTTTCCAACCAACCTGTGTTGTTGGGTCCTCGTTTTGAAGAGACGGTCCTGGCGTTTCCTCCTCATCCTCATCCTCCTCCCTCCTCTCCTCCTCTCACGCTTCGTGGCCCCATAGGGAGGTCCACCTAAAGCCCCAGTGGTGTGTACCACATGCGTCTCCCCCACCCAGTACAGCGCTTCGTGGCTCCATAGGGAGGTCCACCTAAGGCCCCAGTGATGTGTACCACATGCGCCCCCCCACCCAGTACAGCGTTTCGTGGCCCCATAGGGAGGTCCACCTAAGGCCCCAGTGGTGTGTACCACATGCGTCTCCCCTACCCAGTTCAGCGTTTCGTGGCCCCATAGGGAGGTCCACCTAAGGCCCCAGTGGTGTGTACCACATGCGTCCCCCCCCACCCAGTACAGCGCTTCGTGGCCCCATAGGGAGGTCCACCTAAGGCCCCAGTGGTGTGTACCACATGCGTCTCCCCCACCCAGTACAGCGTTTCGTGGCCCCATAGGGAAGTCCACCTAAGGCCCCAGTGGTGCGTACCACATGCGTTTCTCCTACCCAGTACAGCGTTTCGTGTCCGCCGAAGGTCCCCGTGGCGCAGTCCGCATGCGTCTCCCCCACCCAGTACAACGTTTCGCGGCCCCATAGGGAGGTCCACCTAAGGCCCCAGTGGTGTGTACCACATGCGTCCCCCCCACCCAGTACAGCGTTTCGTGGCCCCATAGGGAAGTCCACCTAAGGCCCCAGTGGTGCGTACCACATGCGTCTCCCCCACCCGGTACAGCGTTTCGTGGCCCCATAAGGGGCTCCGCCGAAGGTCCCCGTGGCGCAGTCCGCATGCGTCTCCCCCACCCAGTACAACGCCTCGTGGCCCCATAGGGAGGTCCACCTGAGGCCCCAGTGGTGTGTACCACATGCGTCTCCCCCACCCACTACAATGTTTCGTGGCCCCATAGGGGCTCCGCCGAATGTCCCCGCGGCGCAGTCCGCATGCGTCTCCCTCACCCAGTACAGCGCTTCGTGGCCCCATAAGGGGCTCCGCCAAAGGTCCCCGTGGCGCAGTCCGCATGCGTCTCCCCCACCCAGTACAACGCCTCGTGGCCCCATAGGGAGGTCCACCGAAGGTCCCCGTGGCGCAGTCGGCATGCGTCTCCCCCACCCAGTACAGCGCTTCGTGGCCCCATATGGGGCTCCGCCGAATGTCCCCGTGGCGCAGTCCGCATGCGTCTCCCTCATCCAGTACTGCGTTTCGTGGCCCCATATGGAGCCCCACCGAAGGTCTCCGTGGCGCAGCCCGCATGCGTCTCCCTCACCCAGTACAGCGTTTCGTGGCCCCATATGGAGCTCCACCGAAGGTCCCCGTGGCGCAGTCCGCATGCGTCTCCCCCACCCAGTACAGCGTGTCGTGGCCCCATAGGGAGCCCCACCGAAGGCCCCCGTAGCGCAGCCCGCATGCGTCTCCCCCACCCAGTGCACCTCCGTCGGAGGCCGTCGGAGTTCCGCGCCTCGCTCGCCCGTCGTCGCTCTGCCCAGCGGCAAGAGCCTTGCCCGCTATCAGCCAGCCAGCTAGCTCTTTTTGCTCCGCGCAGCGGGTGACCCGCGCGCGTCGCTGGGACCCCTATGGGGCGACTTGCGCGCGTCGCGGGGACTCCGCGTTGCGCTGCGCCCGCAGCCTTGGACTTTTGAGTGCGCAGGCAAAGAGGGAGAAACACAAGGGGAGGAAGCGGGCGCGATCCTCGCGGAGGGGCGCGCCGACATTAGCGTCGCGGCGCGCGGGCGATGCCGTCGGGGAGTCCCGGGGAAGCTTTTTGCGGCGGCCACGCCCAGCGTCACGAGTACTCAGAGGCAGTCATTCTCAAACTGTTGACATTCATGTGCACTTACACCATGCTTTGTCATACTCGCATTTATGCACGTAGATTCCTTCGCACGCAGATTCATTCACAGTCAGACGCACTCGCGCTCAGATTCACCCGCGCTCAGTCTCCCCACGTACTCAGATCAGTCGTTTTCGTTCGCGGTGTGTACCACGCCACTCATTTCGGCACACCCCTAGCACGGTTGGTTGCCTCATAAGGATTACCGCCGAAAAAAAAATCACAATTGCAGTACTCACACCTGCATATAGTTGGGTCCTTCGTCAGTCTAATTTTTCATCCTCATCCTTTTCCTCCTCCTCAGCGTCCTCCTCCTCCTCTTCCTCCTCCTCCTCCTCCCCTTCCTCCTCCTCTTCCTCCTCCTCCTCCTCCTCCTCCTCCTCCTCCTCATCCTCATCCTCATCCTCATCCTCATCCTCATCCTCCCCCTAATCGAACGGTAGCACTACTCTTTCCATGCCCCTGTTCATGCCTGGTTCTCTTTTGGCGGTTTGGCCCAATGGTTGCCACCCAGCGTGCCCGTTGTAGTCTCGTTTTCGTTTATTTTACCCGCGTTAGATACATTTGGTCGCAATCAAATCATTGAGTTTTCACTGATCCTCTCAATCCTTAGTTGGTAGCGGAGTTTCGGTTCTTTTCCGCGCCTCCTCCATGGTTTGCGTGGCGCATTCCTCTCGTCCAGTTTCGACGACCAGGACTTCCAGATATCCCCGTATTGACACATCCAGTGCGCCAGAACGCTGGACCGTATTCGCGGCGATCCTCCTGGCCTTCGCGACGGGAGCGCCGCACCCGTAGTACGACAATTTGTACGAGGATAATTTCATCGACCATTACAAAGACCGCGGCGCCCTGTCGCCCCCGCCTGCTCCTTACTTGGGACGTGCTCAGACTATGCTGGGGCCGCTTCCGGATCAGTCGCCAATATTGAACAGTTGACCGATACAGCGTTCACATCAGCTGTTGCGGCCCAGGGTCCCGAGCTACCCGCAGCTATGCTACGAGAGCCCTGGGAAAAACAACGGAAAAAAGGTGGAAGTCCGCGCAGGGTCTGGCGGCTATGTTGTCAATTCTCCAAGGGGCGGCGAAACATACCAGGGGTTATTTGGATTCGATTCGTTGGAACATGACCGGTCGCCACACCCACTCACCCCTTACAGTCTGACAGGGCGAGACCCCGATGCGCACTCCTCGCGACGATCGCGCAGTTGGCGGCGTCCAGTACAGTGACGACACGACGCACGAAAGGCATTCCCACAATTATGTCGTGGGATGTCCCGAGTGCCGAGAAGTCCGCGACGACACGACGGAAGACTACGCCCAATGCGCAGACGAGGAGTGACACACTTGGGGCAGGAACCCTCGGCGGCTCCGAGGCTCGCGGTCAGAGAAGCGCCGCCTTTGGGCCCCCGGTTTCCGGTACCTCCTACACTTAAGGAGCGACTTCCATTGCGCATGGAAAGCCGGAGGAATGGGTATGCTTCTTGCGGCCGGCTGCCCGATCTGCGCGGGCGCAGGCGGCGGCGGCCGCAGCGCGCGCCACCGCCGCGCCGGGGGCCCGAGCAGCAAGCTCGAGTGCCTTTTCCAGCGATGGGCGCGGGAGGCGATGATCTAGTCAGTGGCGAACTCAGACATCAATGAATTTCGCCAGGCAGCCAAGGCATGATCACGATTCGCCGGCATGGCGCGTGAGTTCGTGGATAAGCGGCCGCCAGGTGTCATGATCCAAAGGAGCACATCAATTGCAACCCAATGCCACCGATTACCCTCGTAATGCACAGCTTGGCCGAAAGATGGGGCAAACTTGGCGAGGGGGAGCGTGCATCGGCAGTCTCGGCGCTCATGGACTTCAACAGACTGCCGTGGGAACGCATCGACCACTTCCCCACGCGCTTTGGCATCTTCCGTGACCGCGCAGAACCAGCTGGTCAAGTCATGGTCGACTACGAGGGTCCCAGCAACGTTATGAAACGCTTCGTTGTCTGACGCATGTCTTTCATGTGCTGACCGCAGAGGCAAAACATACCCGCTTGAACACCACATTCAAACGGTAGCACTCGCACAACAGGCCGTTTTCACTAGTCCTCTCAAGTCAAGACGCTTCGCGTAACCCCACGAGCCGATCCAGAAAAGATGCCCAGAGGAATTGCCTCGATCAGGGAAGTGGGCAGCACACAGGAAGGGCCCCCCAGTGGAGGCCTCTTGGAGCGTCTTGGGGGCCTCTTGGCGGTCTTGGGCGCCTTTTAGAGCGTTTTGGGTGCCTCGGAGAGTTTCTTGGGGCCTTTTGGGGTGTCTCTTGTCGGCCTGTTGGAGGCCGTTTGGGCGCCTGTTGGGGCTTCCTGGGGCCTCCTGGGCGCCTCTTGGGGCCCTTTTGAAGCGTTCTTGGGAGCCTTCGGAACGCTCTTGGGGCCATCTTGGAGGACATCGACCAAACAAGAGGGGAGCCTTAATTTGCGCTGCGATTCGGGAGCCCAAAAAGTCACCTTTGGGGGGCGTTCTTGGAGCGCTCTTGGGGCCGTCCTGGGGCTCTCTTCAGTCTCTCTTGGAGCCCTGTTGGGCCATTTTGGAACCATCTTGAGGCCTCGGATGGCCGTCGGCAGTGAAAATGCGAGAACGCTAAAACAACATCTTTCCTAAGATTTTGGGATGATGTTGGCCTCTTCGGGGCCTCCTGGGGGAACTTTTTGGCCAATTGGAGCCGTCTTGGAGCGGTCTTGGGGCCTCTTGGAGCATCGTGGGCGCCATATTGAGGCATCTTGGGGTATTGCGAACCATATTGTAGGTAATCTTGGAGTTTCCGACAGGCTCTTGGAGTCATCTTAATCAGTTCTCCCCCCCGCAGGAGGGGCCCAAACGGTAGTAAAATCAATGATTTTGGTATTTTCGCCGCGGCCTCTTGGAACGTCTTGGGTGCCTCTGGGGGACCTCTTGGGGCCTCTTGGGGGTCTCTTGGCGGCCTCTTGGGGGCATCCTGGG